AGGTTCTTACGGATACGAATATTTTCCATAGGTTCTTACGATATTTCCATAGGTTCTTACGGATACGTATATTTTCCATAGGTTCTTACGGATACGTATATTTTCCATAGGTTCTTACGATATTTCCATAGGTTCTTATGGATACGTATATTTTCCATAGGTTCTTACGGACACGTATATTTTCCATAGGTTCTTACAGATCTCCTCCAAGAAGAACAAAAGGATTTGATTACAACTACTGAAGGATGGACGCAAGAACAACGCGAAGAAAGGCTGCGTGAACTCAAGGAGAAGCTTTCGGTCATCGACGACGGTAATCAAACTTCTGAAGACTCTAGTTACTCTCGTCCTGTGGACACCCCGATATCACGGACACTCTGTTAATACGGGCACTAAAGATGTATCACTGCTTTGATACTGAAGCAAATCAGTGGGCACCTGCTAGTACGGACACATTTATAGCGATCCCCAGTAATCAGTTCAGTTTCACTATTTTCTAGCTATAGCTATAGTCGACGGGGACGTGTATTACTCCATATTAAAGTTCTGCGGAGAAGAAGTCCTTTAAAATCTTTTCTGTCTTTTGTGGACTGTATGGCTTGATGTTTATCAACTTTCAGCAATTTTTTCTATTTTGATCCAAGGATCTCTTACATGTTTCTTTGTTGGTTTTATAAATAACAATTTCTTCGTTAGATTTGAGTTTCCTCGTCTGTAGATATGCGGGTGTGATATATTTTAAATATCGAACATACAGGAAGTCTCTCAGTGGTTCAGTACCAATTATCTTTTCAACAACAGAGTTTCTGTAGTTTACCAAGTTTTCCGTTATAGCAAGAGTTGACAGTATTTCAATTCTTAATGTTTTTTCTTCTTCCGTTTGTATCTGAAGCTGACAAAGAGGCACGAAAAGCTATACTTCTGGAGGCCGCAGCCGTGAAGCTTGTGAATCGTCAAAAGCACTTACAGAAATCCCGCGAAGGCGACGGGACTGTCTCGCGGGACGATGTGATTATCTCCCTTTTGGCAGATCTACAACAAGAGCAGGACAAGGAGAGCGAGACGGTTATTGGAGCAATGCAGGATAAAGTAGGATGCTTGAGTTAATCAATGCAACAAATATTTAAACAGGCCATAGTTTGTAGAGGGAAATGATTAGGAACCCTTTTGTTGTATGTTTTTGTGTCCTTTTTTCCAACCGTGACAGTGTACAATGTTTTGTTTAACTATTGTTTCGGCCATACTGGTTAAATCCGAATGAACGGAGCGAAAATTATTCTTTTGACTATTTTTTTCAAAATGCATACAAAATTTTAACCAATATTAGAATATTATCATTTCATAATCTCATAGAGGGTTTTTATGYTCACTCACTTTGCAATTTCCATTGTCCGTAAGAAAATTAAAACGTTGTCACCGGTCTTGACTGATTCAACCTCAATATACGTACAAAAGATATACAAAAGAAGTACAATAAAAGGTTTCCAAACCATTCGCCTCTATTAACAATGATCAAGCCATGAGCCAGTCATTATTACGATTCTCCTTGTTTTCGTTTTGTAACGCTTCTTGAACAAATTTGATATTCTGTGTTAGGATAAAAACGAACTCATAGAACTCCAAAAACATCACATMGAGGCGCGTCAGGGGGAGGCACTCAAGAATGTTTCAACCATTGTCACCCGTCCAGAGGAAGTAAGTGATGCCRGTGAAGGAGACCTTGTTCAGGCATTGGAGGACAAATACGACGCGTTGCGTGACAAGTTGATAGCCGACGCGCTCATGAAACAAATCGGTGAGTCAGAATGGAAAGCAATGACTGAAAGAGACAGAATGGCAAAATTGGTTCAAATGAAACTAGAGGCTAAGAGGCTGAAGAAAGAAGGTGAGTTGCTCACGTGTGGGAGGAGGGATGGGGTAGGAAAAAGGGTGAGTTTCTCACGTATGGGGGGAGGGATGGGGTAGGAAAAAGGGTGAGTTTATCAGGGGTGAGGAAGTGGAGTAACTTCCTTGTAGGATGGAAAACTTGGTGAAAAGTTTGACCTTTAAATGGACGACAATTGCCAGTTAAGCTTGAAAACATAACACCAAAAATCACGAATTGAGCACTTTTCTTGTCGTCTCTCTTATAAAACCCGCTCCAGCCCTACCTAACAGAACACAACTAGGGAAAGGTTGCAAACCCATTCCAACAATCGGGACAGTTAGGCCTGGTAAACATTTTATCTTCTTTCACTTTTAAGGTAAAATCGACGAACTTCAGAAAATCTTCGGTGATTCGCTAGCAAACGAAGCGAACCTAGCATCACTCATGGGAGAAAACAAGGCGAGTTACGAAAAGAGACTTCAGGAGAGATTAGCGAAGAGGCGAGAGAGACTGGASCAAGGTCTGGACCAAGAGGAAGTGGATCGACTGGAAGCGGAAGAAGACAAGAAGTTTGAAGAAGAAGTACAGAAGGCTTCTACAGGAAATGCTTTGCTAGACTTAGAGGTACAACTATTATTCTATAATTTGGTCACTCATAAATCAATAGGGAACTTTAGATTTGACAACGAGTACGAGTTTTAGCAGGAGTACGCCTGCTTCGAAGGTTCTTTGGAGGTTCACTCCAATTTATAGGAATTCAATTTGCGAACAGTTATAGCACACACAAGTCAATTGCACAATTCGTACTCTTACCCAATCCCCTGATAGTTGTCAATCATAAGTTTCCTAATAGCACTGTCAAAGACACWAAACTCTACAAGAATACAGAAACGAAAGAAGGCGCAGTTTCCGTGTGTAAGACATACAAAAGAGAAAAAGCAGTAAAAATGTCACTTTCAAAAAATTTGCGTTTTACATGTTTTTGAAACGAAATTGCTTAGAATCATTTTTTTCCTAACCTCTTAAAGAACAGAAAAAAACTAGGCCAACTGCCATCATCGTCACAATTTGCCCGTGAATTTTGACGCCTTTTTCTCACAGAAACGTTTTGAGGAAGAGAAGGAAGCTCTCCTAGCAGGGTTACAAGGAGCCGATCAAAAATTCAACAGCGAAAGAGAAAGGCAAGCCGAACTGGCAAGATTACGTCGAGATGAACGGCGAGCTCGACAAGAAGACACATTTGACAAGGCAGCAATGGTGTTTGGTCTCGCACAGGCCATGCAAGCAAACCTTGCTGATGTGTAAGTGAAACTACAGTTAAGCGGTCACCCTCCATTAAGCGGCCACTCTCCATTAAGCGGTCACCCTCCATTTAGGGGTCACCCTCCATTAAGCGGTCACTCATGAATTCTCCAAAATTCAATTCTGATGTATATTTGAAGTAAACATGACCTTCATAGTAAACGGTCAACCTCTGTTAAGCAGTCTCATGATCTTCCCCCAAGCTGTAAATTTATTATTAAGTATAAGCCTATATATGGGTAGCTAGCCCCTTCTTCACTAATCCTTGCAGATCGTACCATTGGCTGGAAAATGTCAGAAATGTGCGTTTGCAACTTCATTTCATATCTTTTCATATATCATTTCATATCTTTTTTCATAAATTTTTACAACTGTTTCAGTAATAAATTTTGTAAAGCGCATCAGAACTTGATGGATATTTTGCGCTATATAAATACTATTTATTATTTTATTATTTGTTATATTTTAGGCGAAGACGTGACCAAGAAAGACAAAAAGAGCTCGCTCGACAAAGACTTGAAGCCCGACGCAGTCGTACAAAGTCAGACCTCGATAAAGAAAAACTCAAATTGAAAGACGCTGAACAAGAAGAGGATGAAGTCACCGATCCTACGAACATAGCTGCTTTACAGGTACAGTAGAGGCTAGGGACCTTTTGCTACTGAAATTATTGTTGAAATACGATGTAATCTTGGATCTATATTAACATACTCCAGTCCTTTCCTCTCCTTCTCTTTCCCCTCGTTCTAACACCCCCTTACCTYATTATCTTCCTGCCTACAATCCATGAATCCCTGTAATCTCCCTCTCTCCTTTCCGTTGTTTCCTCAGCTTTCTTTGCATCCATTGTCGTATACGTCGATTCTTCTCTCTTTTTTTCTTTGTTCTACCCTCCGTCCGTCCCTCCTTCCTCCCTCCTTCCTCCCTCCTCACTTCCATGAATTTGTACATCCTTTTCCTTCTTCCCATTTCTCCTTCCCGTTATATCATCCATCCATCCATCCTCCCTTTCTTAAACCCATTCATTTATTATCTCCCTTCTTGTATCATTTTCGAGGCTTAGGATGCGCGATATGAACTTATTTTTGATATTATTAMATGACTTTGTCTATTTTCCTTTCTATCATCTTATTTGACCCTTTTGTAGCTGTATAAGTGTTCTATCACAACATATGTGATAATTCTTGTTTGCAGGATGCAGTTGTCAAGGAGATGGAGCAAAAACACGCTTGCGAGAGGCAAGTATTTGAGATCATGTTRAGCGAAGAGAAGACAAGTGAGACACGTAAAGCAACCCAGGCACTGACACTGGACCAAATGAAAGATAGGTTGTTTGAACTCAAGGTATATGAACTAAAAATCATAGAACGTCCAAAATAGAAATACCAGGCTTACTGATCACCTCATTAAGTAACGACAGGCAAACTAACTTTAAGTGTCTATGACGCCTGACACAATAATTTTTGATTCTCTGTGAGCTGATTCTGTATAAAGTAAATAATTGCCCTATTCCATTATGACGTCACAATATATTAACATTGAAAAACGATACTGAAATTAACAGTGGAATTTTGAATCCATTTCTATTGCCTCATACAGTAGAACTTCAATGAATCTTGTTCTGATATATATCTTGTCTAAATGATTGTTCGTGTACATTTTATTTGATATGCCCTCACTCTGATACCCTCTGGCAACCATAATACATAGCGTTAAATAATATTTTGTTTTGATGTGACGTCATAATGAACTGGGTCAATTGAATGGTGAAATATTCCTGCATTTCAGTGTTGCGTCTTTTGAGTTTTGAAGGTTCAATTTTACAATATGCTAATAAAAACGGCGTCAAAGAAGGCTTCATTAGATATAAGAAATTTGAAGGAGTCGCTTAAAAATGGTTTCATGGTTTCATATCGTAGGCAATGTAGGGAATTACCATATTCCAAGATGGCGTTCATGAAAACATTTTTGAGCGACTGTTTCAAAGTTCGTATATCTAATGAAGCCTCACAGAGAATCAGCAATTATTGTGTCAGGCGTCATAGGCACTTTCGAATTAACTGATCAACTACCAACCAACTCACTTGACTGTGATTTATACTTAAAGCAACTTCGTAAACAATGGCGTGAATGCAGTCCTGACGAAATGGCAGAAACCGCTGACGAAGAAGAACTTCATCTTCGTGAAGCAACGGGYCTTCGAATCGAAATAAAAATGGCCGAAACTAAGCAAGAAGGAGGCGAAGTTGGCGAAAAACTCGAAGATGAGATTGCGGTTTCTCTGCTTGCTGAACTTCAGCAGCAGCAGGACCAGGAAGAAGAGTTTTTATTGAAGGATTTAGCAGCAAAGGTGAGTGAACGCATCCTGCATCGTTATTTACTTTTTATCATCATCATCATCATGAAATGTCATCCTCGTTGTCATCATCGTCATGATTATCATTATGATTATCCCAAACGTCCAGAGCTGTACTATGATGTCCCCTGTCCCTTGGGTAATGTATCTTGTATCAGAGATCCCTTGGAGATTTTTAAATTGTCTTCTTGTTATTGAGGATCTCCTAGAAATTCCCTGTATGTCCCTTGTCTATATGTCATCTTCATCATCATCATCATCACTGTTAAGATGGTTTATTGATCTTTTGTCTTTCCAGACACCTGTCACTCTCCAACAAATCCAACAAGTGCAACAACTTGCCAGGAAACAGAAGTGGTACGACAATATCGCTGCTACAGTTCTGGGCGTCAAACGAACACCCATCGCATCTTCTACTCAGGCACCAACAGAAAACGAACTGGTAGAGGCTTTAGAAGAGAAATACGATGCTCTGAAGGACAAGCTTCTGGCTGAGGCTCTTATGAAGCAGATGGGAGAGGCGGAGTGGGCTGCGTTGTCGGAAAGGGAGCGACAAGCACGTTTAGTAAAGCTGAGAATACAGGAAAAGAGACTAAGAGAAGAAGGCAAACTTGACGAGGCCAGCAGGTCAGCTATTTTTATGTAGTAG